TTTTTTTTGCAGATTTTAATAGTATTGGAAGGAGAAGATTGGGAAGGAACACTAGCAACTCCTCAACGGTGTGCAATGCATTTCTTGGAACCTACCTCTTTAGAAGTAATACTACTGAAGTGCCTTGTGTGTGATGATCCTCGTTTGCCCAAGGTCAAAATGGAAGCTGTTCTTCCTGCTGTTATCATAAATATTGAAGGTTTGTTTAAGTAAAAGTGTGTATTGGTTTAAAGGGTAAAATTGTGTGGGGATTTTTTTTCTGAAATAATGAATAGTCCAAAAGTAATTATTCATTACTGAGTATCAAAAATATCATTTAGACATGAACGTTTTGTTGAAGAAAATTGATATATTAGTAAGATTAATATAGTCTGTTGTAGAAAAGTTCTGCAAAATAATACATTCTTGTATATTATACCTAGATATTGAAACAGAACTTTGTAGAAGTGACCTAATGAATACAGCATTGTAGGCTTTCACGGCTGGAGTCAATATTCTTCATGTCTTCCGGGCTGATGGGCCGTGGTCCAATTGGCTCTGAGATGCCAAACGTTTCGCCCACGACTGCGGTGGGCATCTTCAGTGGCGAGCTCTTATAGGACATAGGGGATTTAATAAATACCTCTACGACTTCAAGATCGTAAAGAAGCCCACATGTAGTCTCTGTCACGCAGACATAGATGATGCAGAACCCACACTATTAATAAAAATATAATATAAATAATAAAATTAATGATATAATATAATTATAAATATTAATTATTATAATAATTCTAATTCTAATTATAAAATAATTAGTGAAATTGGTGAAATTCTTTTTTAAATAATGAATATTAAAACTTTGAAAATTTATTTCAACCCTTCGTTATGCATGCCATTTTGCGGAACGTTTTTAGTCTGCTGGGCCCATACACACATACATACACATACACACATATATACACATACACACACATACATACACACACATACATACACACACATACATACACATATACACATACACACACATACACATACACACACACACACACACACAAACACACACATACACCACTTGCTCACATACCATACACCTACATCCATGCCCTTGCTTATTATTGCTTTTGTTTGCAGGCACTGATCATGCATCAACATGCATAACTGTCAAATTATAATATAATTTATTGGAAATTTGTGTTATTGATTTGGTCATTGTTTGCAACAGTAATACTGGAGATGGCATGTGTTGGATATGTTGGAAGAGTCACCTTTTAAGTATGAACCTGTGTGTGTGTGGATGGGTGGATGTCTGGGTGGGTGGTGAGTGTGTGTGGACATGTATAATAGCTTCTGAAATCTTATTTGAACACATTTGATTTCTATTTATGAAAGAATTACTTATTTGTGTGATTTATTGCGCAGTAGAGTGTGAAATGATATCAAATCCAAAGTCATATTCATTATCGTCATTGAACATTTTAATGTCAACTTAACCTTTTGTTTATCAACTGACGTGGCATGCTCTCAATTAGCTGCATATTTTAATACCTTGCCTCCACTTCATTACACAACTGTGGCTAGAAAACCCACTATGGTCAAGATCTATCTCTATTGCTAATGGCTAGAAAATCCATACTGCATTCTGTTGGTAGGAAAGGTTGGAGGTAAACAGGTGGCACTCTTATTGCAGCTCAAAGGCTTATTATTCAGGAGCATATTTCTATTATTTTGCACATTTTTGTCCATTGTTTCAGGGCATAGCTAAGTGCAATTTCTTGTCATTTGGTCAGAATTGGTTGCTATGTAGATTTATATGTTAATGAATATTTGTGGATGTTTGGCCCATTTTTTCCTGTTTCTACATATTTTTTTAAAATAAACATTTCATGTCTTCATAGAATATATTTATTTTTGAGTGTTCATTGATTAGAAAAAGCTTAATGTAGTTTGCTTTTTTTTTTCTTCTTTTGTGTAGATGTTAAAACACTTGCGCAAATGAAGGATATTTTTTGATATATTTTTAAACCAGTCAAGAAAAATAAAAAACAGGACATACAAAATATTTAACCAAATTGTATACTTACTTCAGTTATTTCTTCTGCTAAGTAAACTAGGTTATACATTGGCGGAAAAAAGTATTACAACTTCCCGATTGCATTGTACAGTTTATTCCTCTGTACAGATACAGCACGTACAGAATACTATATTTGATTACATTAGGGTTACCAAAAAATTTGTTCCCAATGGAGGACATTTTACTTAAAAAAAAAGGGATATTTCAATGAAAAGGTCATTTTACATGTGTATACTTCACGATTAACAGACAATGTACTCAATTCCTAATCATTTCTAGTCTTTAAAAAGCAGGCTTTGCTTCATTAATAATAAAAGCTAACGTTTGGATAACTTTGAACCCTCACTCACCTTCATTATTCATAAAAAATAAGCATAAATAAGTTTTTTTTTATCACAATAAGCCTAACGATCTATTGTGCAAACAATTTTTGAGTAAAAATGTAGTTATTTAAAGCACGAAGTCCCTTTAATGAATTAAATTACTTTAAGATTATGCCAGTATTATTATCAATTCAATGGGACAAAGAGGAGGACATTCCATGTAAATAAAAAAAAGGAGACAGGACAGGAAAACGATGTTAAAAAAAAGAGGACAAGTCCTCCAAGAAGAGGACAGATGCCCCCCCCCCCTACATGGGCAGAGCCATGTAAGACTCGCATGTCCAGCAGCAGAGAGAACCATGGACCGGAATCGTCACATCGCCGTGTGTACCCGCCGCGGCCAGTACGACAAGCCCTGATCCGGGCTGGCATCCCATGGTGTGTAATGGTACTCTGCGGTACACTGTTTCACGCCTCCTGCATCGCCTCACGCAGAGCAGGCATTGTTGTCGGGGGATGCCGCAGCACGGATCAGGCGTTGGCCCATCATGTCCCACATGTGCTCGATTGGGGACAAATCCGGCGAGCGTGCCAGCCAGGGCAGTTGATGAACATCTCGGAGAGTGAGTTGCGTAGCGCGGGCAGTGAGCGGACGGGCATTGTCCTGCTGGAAAGCGCACCACCCTCCCGTTGCAAGAAAGGTAACAGCACAGGCCACACATGATCCTTTTGCCAACACCAACGATCCGTCCCCCAACACCAAAGACGAACGCGCGTTGTAGCTGAAGGCACCCCACACCATCACACCCGGGATGGCCCTACGTAAAAGGACAAACTCACACTGAAAGCACGAGCTCACCTGTGCGACGTTGCTTACGCACACAATCATCACTGGCGTGCAGGCAGAAGCGACTCTCGTCACTGAACACCTTTGCATGCCATTCCCTCTCCCAGCTGAACCGCACAGTGCATCTCGCCAGACGTGCCCGTCGATGGTTCAGCCTGAGTGGCAGTCGGGCAAGCGGTATGCGCGATTGTAATTCTACTGCACGTAACCGGTTCCCAACGTGTTGGGCAACATGTGCCTGTATCTCGGCGCTGGTGGCCGTACGGTGTGCCGCCCTCACGATGCGTCGCTATTGACGCTCGTTGGTGCTCCGCGATCGCCCAGAAGTGGGTCTACGGCTATGGGAATGCTCATCTACCCTTCGTCGTCAATATCGCAACACTGACGTCACAACTCGACCTACGTGCAATGTGTCGTAAGGACCGCCGGCTTTCGTGCAGGCTGACAATCCGTACCCGCTCAAACTGATCCAGTTACTTAAAGGAGTGCGACGCTGTGGCGTACCTTATTCTCGACTAGAGCTTATCACAGTGGAAGCCGCGGAGTAGATGGCGCGTCCAACCATTTCGTCTAGCTGCCATTACGTCACCGGGCGTAAGTCATCCTTGAAATGTTCATAACGGCTTGTACGAGCTTCCATCCCTAACGTTCCTTATTGCCTACTTGATTGCTCATGCTCTTCTCGGTGTTTCAATACTTTTTCCCAGCAGTGTATTTATTATGTTGGCACAAATATATAACTTTTCATTCCAAGCATGCTTTTCCTGAACTTTATTATGAAAGATTTTCAGAAATATTAATTTTAATTGCATATTAAGGTGCATGTTTCATCATTTTTAGACCATAAATGTATATTTATAAAAGCATACTTCAAAATTTTTTTAGGGTATAAAAAATCCTCTCCCTTAACTTACTTAAAGCTTACTCCTACTGGTATGCAGGAACTCATACCACATTCAGAAAACATTTGAGCAGGGAGACAACTGGAAAGTAATGAAAATTTTAAGATTCTACATTGTGGTTTCGATAGGCAGTGCCACAATAAATTGAATACCTGTGTCCAAAGTGGGATTTGAACCTTCAGGCCCAACAGCTCATAGCTGGTACTGTAACCATTTTACTATGAGACCTGACCAAATTCCATATTTTTATCCAGAATTTTCAAGAATTTTGATACAAATACCGTAACTTGATACTTATCGTTGGAAGAATATATTTGTTATGTTGTGCATTTATAATATTTATGTGTTAAAACATGAGAAAATTTACAAATTATGTTTTTCTTGGATACGCCACAAAATAATATAGTTCTTAAACAAACTTCTCTTTGCAGTGATCATTTGATAGAACAAAAGAACAAATAATTATTATGAATCGATTATTTCAGATGATCGTGTTTTCCATTTGATGTCATTGATCTTCAGCATTACAGAATTTGGAGTGGAAATAGAGAAAACCGTAGAAACTCAACAAAAGCTGGTATGTTGGTTGTAAAATTTACGTGAGTGACTCACATTCTCATTTAATTTTCAAATCATTCCTGTTCAAAATATCTCCTTTTCTCACTTTTTTTTTCGGTTTGAAACATTAAGGAATGTTAATAGCTCCTTGAAAAAAGGATAAGTGTAAATCAGTTAAAGATTATTTCATTTTGAGATCAAAACTGTTTTACAAAAAATAAGTTTATTTTTTGTTCTAATGAATTAAATAAGTTTTTTTTTTTCATTTCTACTAAAACATTTTATAGCAATACAATCATTTGTTTTTTTAGGACACCATGTCAGTAACATCAAGTATGACTTCAGACTTAAATAGATTGATGTCAGAAAAAAGTCTACAACACCGAAGACAACATCAATCAAAACAAAAAACAGAAAGTGAGAAAAAATGTGAAGATATTGTGCAAGCAATTGATTTTCAAATGGATTTTATAATGAAAGGTATAATTGTTCACATGTTATCAACAATCATACAGTGAGGTTGATTCAAAATTCTGTTGTACAAATTACTTTTTATGCTCTGAAGGATTATTATTATTATTATTATTATTATTATTATTATTATTATTATTATTATTATTATTATTAT